GCTCAGCGCTGGCTTGTGCCCCTTCGGTTTTAGGAACTCATACGTCCGGTTAAGACACTTATGTACCAACACCTGGGTGACAAGCACCGGCATTCCCATCGACGGGGAGGAGGAGCGGCCGGTGATGTTGAAGGTACCGTTGCTGCTGTGCTCTGTGTGCGTCCTGCCCAGCACCGTGTTCTCAGAGCCGGGGTGGGAAATGCTTCTTTCGAACAGGGAAGGACTCAGGATGGTTGTCATTCATCTTACCCAGCATGCACTTCTCCCTGTCCCTAACATGTCTGTGTTACATGGGGGGAGGGTTCACAGGATATGGGCACAGATAGCACCATGAATGGGAGAAGCAGAAGGGAACAGAAAGTTCTAGAGAGAAATACACCTTCTGTGCTCTGCAGGTCCCAGGGCCCTTTGGGGACGGGACAGGAAGTGGGCAGAAAAACCCTCTGTCAGGGCTGGAAGGTGGCTCCGTGGCAGAGTGCTCACCTGGCACGCATGAAGCCCTGGGTTCGATTCCTCAGCATCACACACAGAGAAAAAGCCGGAAGGGGTGCTGTGGCTCACATGGTAGAGCGCCAGCCTTGAGCCAAAGAACCCCAGGGACAGTGCCCAGGCCCCGAGTTCAAGCCCCAGGACTGGGAAAAATGAATGAATGGATGAATGAATGGATGGATGGATGACTAATAAAAACCTTACAGATCGGAACCTGTCAAACCAAAGAAGACAAAGAGGCCTTCGCCATCGTGTCTGTCCCCCTGTCCGAGGTTCGCGACTTAGACTTCGCCAACGATGCCAATAAGGTGCTGGCTACCACGGTGAAGAAACTGGAGCAGGGCACCATCACGCAGAATGAGAGGAGGTGAGCGAGTGGCTCCCAGCCCGCTCTGCTGGGCCCGAGGGGCAGCGGCCCGTTCCCAGGGGGAGACTGGAACCCCTGAGCACGTAGCGCCTTCTCCAGACGCGTACCTGGCTCAGGATGAAGAGGGGCGGGCGCCGTGGCTCACGCCTGCAATCCCAGCCCGGGCTGGGGAGCCCTAGGGAGGGCGGGGAGCTCAGGACTTCCAACATGTCCGCGCAGTGCTCACTGCCGCAGCAGCTGACCGGGCCCGAGCCTGTCCACGGCCTCCCGCTGGCCAGCCAGGGCCTGGACGGGCGCTGTGGGGTTCCTGAGGGCCTCTGAGCAGACCTCCACCCCCTCCTTCCTCCCCTCCGCTCGTCCATGTACCTGGCCAGGGCTAAGCAATATCCCCACGGTTCATGGCCTTATTCTTCTTAATGGTGCTCTGGGTCCACACGACATCTTTATTTTTATTCTTTTTAAGTTTTGGGCCTTACCGAGTCTCGAACTCAGGGCCTGGGCGCGGTTCCTGAGCATTTTTGTTCAAGATCAGTGCTCTACCACTTGAGTCTCGTGGCCTTTTGCGTGCAGGCCGGCTTCAGCAGGCGTCAGCTGGCGTCAGCTGGCCATCCCCAGACCTCAGCCTTCGGCCAGCCGGGGGCGCTGGCGATCCCCAGACCTCAGCCTCCGGCCCGCCGGGGGCGCTGGCGATCCCCAGACCTCAGCCTCCGGCCAGCCGGGGGCGCTGGCGATCCCCAGACCTCAGCCTCCGGCCCGCCGGGGGCGCTGGCGATCCCCAGACCTCAGCCTCCGGCCCGCTGGCGATCCCCAGACCTCAGCCTCCGGCCCGCCGGGGGCGCTGGCGATCCCCAGACCTCAGCCTCCGGCCCGCCAGGGGCGCTGGCGATCCCCAGACCTCAGCCTCCGGCCAGCCGGGGGCGCTGGCGATCCCCGGACCTCAGCCCTCCGGCCAGCCGAGGGCCCCGACCCGAGCCTCTGGCTCCTGTCTTTCCTATTATCTTGATTAAAGAAGCTTTTACCCTTAAATTCTCGTAAGTCCTTCCTGAGTGCTGTCAAGCTTCAAAAAAAAAAGGCCCAAAAGCTCCAGAGGACGAACAGTTGCTTTCCGTTATGCGGATAGATTTGTAACTAAATTGTTGGAGGACCTCATCTTCTTCGTGGCTGATGTGCCCAACAATGGCCAGGACGTCCTGGAGGTGGTTGTCACGAAGCCGAACCGGGAGCGCCAGAAGCTCATGAGGGAGCAGAACATCTTGGCCCAGGTGGGTTGTACCTGGGTGAGGTTTTGCTTTTAATAGTTGTATATTAGGAAGGTTTTGGTATCAGTCACCTCTTGCTGTGTAACAAACGACAACAACCAGACCCTTATGACACTTGAGGTCTGGTTGTGGTTTTGGTGGTTGGTTCTTGATCAGGCTGTCCTAGGAGCAGCAGTCTAGGTGTCCGGTTAGAGAACCCGTCACCTCCAGGCTAGACTCCGTGCTTAGCTGGCCCTGGTGGCTCATGCCTGTCATCCCAGCCACTCAGGGGCTGAGAGCCGAGGATGGCATCTCAAAGCCAGCCCAGGCAGGAAAGTCTGTGAGACTCTTCATCTCCAGTGAAACGCCAAAAAGCTGGTATGTGGCTGTGGCTCAGGTGGTAGAGCGCCCGCCTGGAGCTGACAAAGGTGCTCAAGGGCAGGAGCTTCTGAGTCCTGAGCTGAGTAAAGACAATGGGAACAGGTTCACCACACTGGGGCTCTATCCCTTCCTGGCAGGTATTCGGGATTCTGAAAGCGCCCTTCAAGGAGAAGGCCGGGGAAGGCTCCATGCTGAGACTGGAGGACTTGGGAGACCAGCGGTACGCCCCGTACAAATACATGCTGCGGCTCTGCTACCGCGTGCTGCGCCACTCCCAGCAAGACTACCGGAAGAACCAGGTGGGCAGTGGGCGTGGGCCTGGCCTCTGCTGGCCTCTCCTGGCCCCTCCTGGGCCTCTCCTGACCTCTCCTGGCCTCTCCTGGCCCCTCCTGGCCTCTCCTGGCCTCTCCTATCCTCTCCTGGCCTCTCCTGAACCCTCCTGTCCTCTCCTGTTCTCTCCTGGCCCCTCCTGGCCTCTCCTGACCCCTTCTGGCCTCTCCTGGCCTCTCCTGACCGCTCCTGGCCTCTCATGACCTCTCCTGGCCTCTCCTGACCCCTCCTGGCCTCTCCTGACTCCTCCTGGCCTCTCCCAGGCCTCTCCTGGCCCCTCCTGGCCTCTTCTGGCCTCTGCTGACCCCTCCTGGCCTCTCCTGGCCTCTCCTGACTCCTCCTGGCCTCTCCTGACTCCTCCTGGCCTCTCCTGGCCTCTCCTGACCCCTCCTGGCCCCTCCTGGCCTCTCCTGACTCCTCCTGGCCTCTTCTGGCCTCTCCTGACCCCTCCTGGCCTCTCCTGACCCCTCCTGGCCTCTCCTGACCCCTCCTGGCCTTTCCTGGCCTCTCCTGACCCCTCCTGGACTCTCCTGGTCTCTCCTGGCTTCTCCTGACCCCTTTTGACCTCTCCTGGCCTCTTCTGGTCATGAGTGGGAATTATGGAAGGGCAGGGTGCCAGGGGAGGAAGGAACCTCTCCAGGTGTTGGGAATGTAACCCAGTGCAGCCACGGTGGAGGAAGTGTGGAGAGGCGTGGAAATATCACAGACCCACACTTTGGTGCAGCCATGTTCTTCTGAGGCAGCGAACACAGGGCACTGCAGGTCAGGATCCAGTGAAGCCACACGTACACCCATGTCCACCGCTGCAGGAGTCACCGGAGCCAGCCCTGCAGTGGATAAATGGGTTGAGAGCAGGTGGCCTGTGTTTCTATACAGTGGAATCTTTCTCATTGGTCATTTACAAGGAAATGGACAGAGAGACCTGGAAAAAAACAACAATAAAATAGGATGTGGGGTGAAATAAGTCAGGCTAAAAGAGACACACGTTTTCTCTCACTTGTGGAAGTTAGATCAGACTTTATATATAAATATATGTAAATGTATGCAGGATCTTAGGCAGATCCACATGAACGTGTTCACTAAGGTGTGAAATGCAGGGGAGCGTGTCTAGGGTGTAACTCCTTTGAACAGCTGACTTACAGTCTAACAGAATAACTACCAGAAAGCTGAAATGTGTTGTCAAAGAGAGGGAGAAAAATCCAGGGGAGGAGGAAGGGCAGACAGATGGAGGAGGCGGGTGGGCAATTACAGTCATCGTCTGCAATGTGTGTATCTGAAAATGGAGTGAGGTGGGGAGGGAGGAGGGGGAATGCCGGAAGGGCTGACATGGACCACAGGGCATTGTCTTCACACACGGATGTGTTAAACTGAAACTCCTTCATACAAGGCCTTAAAGGGTAATTATAACTAAAACACACACACAAAAGAACCACAGGAGATTTTATTTAGCGTTGAAATGTTTCATAATCAAGCAAGGTTTTTGTTTTATTTTTCAATATGAACTTAGAGAGACCGGCTGACTCTGATTCTCTAACTCCTGATGTGTGCGTGGTAAATTAACGCCTGCTGGACAAGGGGCCTGGGGATGAGCAACGTAAAGAGGATCAGAAGACCAGGCCCAGTAGCTCCCGCCTGCCGTCCCAGCTCCCCAGGAGGATAGGTTAGGTTGGAGAATCATTGTACAAGACCCGCGTGAACGAAAAAGCAGGGAGGCCCTACGAGAAAAATAACTAATGCAACAGGAGCTAGCGTCACGGCTCAAGCAGTCGAGCACCTGCCTGTAATTCAGGACAGCCTTACAATTAGGGGATGGGTGAAAGGCAGCCAGGACAGACCAGTCTGAGGGACCGTTATCTCCAGTTCACCGGCAGAAAGGCAGAAGTGGAAATGTGGCTCAAGTGGTAGGGTGCTGGCCTTGAGTGGAAAAAGCCAAGCGAGAGTGTGACGTCCTGAGTTCAAGTCCTGAAGTCAGTGAACACACACACACACACACATACACACAGCTTACATGAAATGCCTTTCTGATATGTGTCAGAGCCAGATTGTAGAATGTAAGTGCAAAAACTTGCCATTTTTTGCACTAATTATCTTTCCCTTTATGCTGTTCTGCATTTTATCGTCAGAAAGGGGTTCACGCATGACTTAGTGTCATCGCAGATCTCATGAATGTCAAGTCTCTGTTGATTACTACGTAGTTATTCTGATTCCATCGAATTCGTTATCTACATGGTGGAAGTTTTTCCTCTGCCCAGATAGGACTACGGCAGTCATAACGTGGGAAAATCAAGGCACATCTTTGAAGTGATACGCTACTGGCAGACGTTTCCTTGGCTTAGCCGGCTAGCCAGGGTTCAAAGCCGGACCAGGCAGGAAAATCCGTGGGGCTCCTATCTCGCACGAACCGCCCCACAAGCCACACGCTGCCGGTGCGCTCACGGTGCCAGGCTCACCTGCTGCGGCTCTTCCTCCCGTAGGAATACATTGCTAAGAACTTCTGCGTCATGCAGTCCCAGATCGGCTATGATATTCTGGCAGAAGACACAATCACCGCACTGCTGCACAACAACAGGAAACTCCTAGAGAAACACATCACGGCAAAGGAGATCGAGACGTTTGTCAGCCTGCTCCGGCGGAACCGGGAGCCCAGGTGGGAAGGGGCGGGGGCCGCGGGCGCCGCGTGGCTTACGCTGCATAAATCTCACACCTGCAACCCTCGCTTCTCTGGGGGCTGAGATCTGAGGACTGTGGGGCAGCGCCAGCCTAGGTAGGAAAGTCCGCGAGACTCCGATCTCCACGTAACCACCAGGGAACGGGACGTGGAGCCGTGGCTCGAGGTGGTAGAGCACTGAGCAAGAGCTCAGGGACAGCACCCGGGCTCTGAGTTCAAGCCCTGCAACAGACAAAACCAAACCGACAAAACTCTGCCTCTCACGTGAAACCGGGGCTCTGCGGCGACCACGTGGCGTCTTCTCTCTGATGGTTCTTTTCCTGGCAGGTTTCTGGATTATTTGTCTGACCTGTGTGTGTCCAACACCACAGCGATTCCCGTCACACAAGAACTCATCTGTAAGTTCATGCTGAGTCCTGCCAACGCGGACATCCTCATCCAGACCAAGTAAGCCGCGCGCGGAGACTAAGCCGTGGAAACTTAAAAAGAATTGCACCCGTGGGCCTGGGCAGGTGGCTCAGGGGTAGAGTGCTCGCCTCGCATGCATGAGGCCCTGGGTTCGATTCCTCAGCACCACAGACACAGAAAAAGCCAGAAGTGGTGCTGTGGCTCAAGCGGTAGAGCGCCAGCCTTGAGCCAAAGACGCTCAAGTGCCGGCCCTGAGTTCAAGCCCCAGGGCCGGCAAAACAAGTAAATAAAAATTGTGCCGGGCAAGGTGGGTCACACCTGTAATCCCAGCTACTTCAGCAGGTGAGAGCCAAGGGTCAGGATTCGAAGCTGGTCCTGGTAGACAAACCTGCGAGATTCCCGTCTCCACTAAACCTGGCCAAAGCCGCAAGTGGAACTGTGCTGGAGTAGAGCACCAGCCTTGAGCAACCAAGCCAAGCGAGAGCGCCAGGCCTGAGTTCACGCCCCAGTACCAACACACTGAGTCACACACACACTCACACATACATCACTCACACACACCACAAATCACACACATCACACATCACACACATCACACACACTCACACACATCACACACACATACACACACTCACACTCACACATCACACACATCACACACACATCACACACACACAAACACATATCACACACACACACATCACACACATCACACACACACTCATACACATCACACACACACTCCACAAATCACACACATCACACACACACATCACACACACACTTGCTCACACATCACACACATCACACACACTCATACACATCATACACTCATACATACACACACTCACACTCACACATCACACACATGCACACACATCACACACTCACATCATACACGAACACACATCACACACTCACTCACATATCACACACATCACACACTCACACACATCATACACTCACACATACACACTCACACACATCATACACTCACATATACACACACTCACATTCACACATCACACACATGAACACATCACACACACATGAACACACATCACACACTCACTCACACTCACACATCACACACATCACACACACTCACACATCACACACACTCACACACATCACACACACATCACTCACACACTCACACATCACACACACGCACTCATACACATCACACACACACTCACATATCCCACACACTCACACACACACACACTCACACATTACACACACTCACACACATCACACACTCACATACACTCACATCACACATACATACACACACATCACACATACACACTCACACTCACATCACACATACATACACACATCACACTCACTCATACATTCACACTCATACACACATCACACACACACACTCACACATCACACTCACACACACACACACACACACACACCCAGTATGCATGGCAGCTAGGACCACGCTTCTTCACAGCTCTGCCTGTGTTGCTGTTCCAGGCTGGTCTCCATGCAGGGCGAGGACCTAGATGGCGACTTCCTTCCGGAGGACGTGGACAGTGAGGAGGTGTGGCTGTACTGGATCGACAGCAACCGAGAGCCGCATGGGAAGGCCGTCCGCCACCTGGCCCAGGAGGCCCGGGAGGGCAGCAAGGCCAGCCTGGAGGTGCTCACCTACTACAGGTGCGGCCGGGCTGCCTCCCCT